CATGCCCGGCTAATTTTTTCTATATATTTTTAGTTGTCCGATTAATTTCTTTCTATTTTTAGTAGAGACGAGGTCTCACTGTTGTTCAGGCTGGTTTTGAACTCCTGAGCTCAAACAATCCGCCTGCCTCGGCCTCCCAGAGTGCTAGGATTACAGGCGTGAGCCACCGTGCCCGGCCTCTTTTTCTTTTTTTTTTTTTGAGGCAGGGTCTCGCTCTGTTGCCCAGGCTAGAGTGTAGTGGTGTCATCATAGTTCATTGTAATTTCAAACTCCTGGGCTCGAGCAATCTTCCGGCCTCAGCTTCCCTAGTAGCTGGAACCACAGGCTTGCACCACCATGCCCAGCTGATTTTTCTATTTTTTGTAGAGACGGGGTTTCAGTGTGCTACTCAGGCCTGAAGCTATCCTCCTGATCCTCCTGGGGAGTCTGTCTTGGCCTCTCAAAGTGCTAGGATTATAGGTGCGAGCCCCCTCTGCTGGCCACAGCCAAATTGTTCACCAATTAATATACTTGGCATCATTTTGTCAGGGTGACTTTTGCCTGTCTTTTATAGTTGTTTAAAAGAATCCGAGTTTAATACTTGGTCCAAATTTTAATGGAACAGCAACACGATGTAATGACTCAGCAATGTGTGAACATCTCTTCTCTTTGTGAAGCACTTTGGCTTTTCCCAGTGCCTTCCCAGGTACTTGCTTGTTTGATCTTGGAGGAAACAGCAGGCATTTTTACAGTTCCCATTGAACAGAGATAGAAACTGGGGTTTTGAGCACTTACGTGATTCCAGCTGATTTTTACAGAAATGCCAGAATATGAACAATCATATGTCTTTCACATTTTACCTAAGAAGGCCCTGTACTTTAAGTCCAAGTTTAAAGTATTGATGTTGGAAGGTTTTGTGGTTTTATGTGTGTGCAGGGGTTGGTTATAAAATTGCTTAATGGGAGAAAATTTGGGAGCTTGGAAAAGTATAAAGAAAAAAAAAAAGCCAATCAGTATGAGAATTCTGAAACCTGGAGGTAACACAATGAATGTTTTATTGTGTTTCTGTCCAGAATTTTTCTAGGCTGTCTATATACCTTGAGTGGGATTAAAAAGAATTTTTTTTTTCCTAGACTCACACTCAGTTGTCTCTATTGTTTAATTTCAAAGCTTAGAAAAAAAGACCTTGCTCACCTGGTACTTGTAGATAGCAACTTTGTAGGGAGGCCACATTGGGACCCCCTGCAGTTTCTCAGCAAAAATGCAACATTTTCCAGATTATTCGCATTTACAACTGTTTTGTTCAGGGTTAGAGCTGGGTTATTTAAAGATCAAATCGTTTAAAGCTTTAATTTTTCAGATTAGGGAACTGAGGCCCAGAAAGTTTAAGTGACTAGCCCGTAATATATATGGCACATTGTGTTAATGATAGAGCTGAGACCAAGAGTCCAGCCCGTGGTGCCAGGCACCCCAGCCCCTAAGGAACTCACAGTTTAAAGAAGTTCCCTTTTTAGAAGTGGCCATGATGCCTGGAAGGAGGTAGAAAAGGACAAAAATAAGGGGAGGACAGCAAACCCCCATGGCTTTGTATTTTGTGATTAGGAACATTTGCATGTGACTTTAAAAATATCTTCTGATCAAGGAGAAGGGAAATTTCTGGGAGGAGGCTTGATTCCTAAACACCTAATGGAAATGCTGTGATGGCCTGGGCTTCTCAGGGTCACAAAGTCAAATGCCTGATGGACCAAGTAGGGGTAGCTGGGTATAGGGTTTGGACATCTAATGCTGTTGGGCAGGAAAGGGAGCCAGGGAAGCCAAATCTTCCAAATTTCCAGGAGTTGGAAATCCCAGATTTCAATATGAAATCTCCCAGATGTTAAATATTGTCCATTATTTCAGTATTTTTAGAACACTGGGTTGGCCAAGTCAATCCGAGACTCCAGTTTTCAAACTCTATGATAAATTAGTAACAGTACATTTTTTTTCCAACACCAGTGAGAAGAGGAAAGGATAGTACACATTTTCATACCACTTGTTCCTGGATTCTCTTGCAAGGTTTAACTGGATATAAATAAACCATTATTCCTTTCTTCCTTAGTATTCATAAGAAATGAGGAATAATCTTCTCTCCCCCAACCCAGCTTTCTTACTGTTTGTGGGAGGAATGATTAGAAGACTGTAAGCCGTTATACAAGGTTGTTTTTTGCAGCAGGGAGGATATTATGGTTTCACAATGCAGGGTGCTGGATTTCCTGTCTGACTCGGCAATGACAGAGAGCCAACAGTGAGAGTCGCAGGTTCCCAGATGCCTGGGTGCAGGCCAGCCTCATTAGCATCACCTGGGGAACCTGTAAAAAATACACATTGCTGGGCCCTGTGCTTGCAGATTCTGATTCGGTCTGTCTAGGTGCAGTCTGGCAATCTGTATTTTTGACATATGTCCCAGTGACTCATTAACTAAATTATAGAACATCCATTTGTTGGAATACTGTGCAGCTATTAAAAATAATTGAGGTGACTTGTATTTTCTCATGGAAATTTCTCAAGATATATTGTTAAATGAGAAAATTTAGATGCAGAATGGTTTATACTTGTTTATACACTGAAAATTTCTGGAAGGATACAAAAACTTGAAATAGTAGTTGCACCTGGGCAAGAGAACTGGGTGTCTGGAGTTAAGAGACATTTTTCTTACCTTTTGCTTCTCCTTTTTGTCCTCCTTTTATTTTCTTTCTTTCTCCTCCTCTTCTTCTCATTCTATTTTCCCTTCCTCCTCCTCCTCTTTGTGTTTTTTTCAATTAAAAGGAGAATGCTTCCCAGGCGATTCTGATACGCAGCCAAGTTAGGAAACCAAGGCCACACATCATATCCTCACTGTATCCTGGACACAAAAGGCCATTTCTTCATGCCTCGGAGAGTTTATTGGCTTAGGTGAAATTTTTCTGAGATGCAGTTCCTTGACTGGATTGCTGATGCAAATCTACAGACAGGATTTGGAACGGGGGACAGAGACATTCCCTTGTTAGGCCGTGCTTGCGCAGCGTGATCCCAGGACACAGCAGGCATGAAGGGATTGTTTCAGGGCAGTCAATAATTAGGGGTGGTGTTTAGAGAAAGCTGGACTTGGGACCAGACCCACATATGGGAATGAACCTCAGCTTTGCTCTTTTGTTTTCTCATCTGTAAATTGGGAAACGATACTGCCTTGAAAGGTTGGAGTAAGGATGGAAAAAAGGGATGTGTGTAAAGCCCTTGTTGGCACAGACAGGGGCCTCACAAATATAATTATTATAATCGTCCTCATTAAAGCTTGCCTTTGTAGAATGGCGGCTTGTGTTACACATTGAATCCCCCTCCATGGAGGGAAGGTGTGTTGCCATGGAAATTCATTGTACCCGTCCCCCCTCCCCAGCCGCTGCTTTGATGGGAGCACCCCTGTCCATGCAGCAGCATTTTCAGGCAATCAGTGGATTCTCAGCAAACTCCTGGATGCCGGAGGTGACCTGCGACTCCATGATCAGAAGGGTCGAAACCCGCAGACCTGGGCCTTGACAGCAGGAAAGGAGCGTAGCACCCCGGTAAGGGTGGGCCCTGCTCTGCAGCCACACCCAGTGGAAGAGCACTAGGCTGAGAGTCAGGATCCCATGGAGCAGCACAGAACACACAATGTCCTTAAGCATTGGCTCTGGACTCACAGGCCTGGGGGTGAGGCAAGTTAACCAGCTGTGAGATCTTGGACAAGTCTAGTGAACCTTTCTAGTCATCCATTCTATGGGGAGGGAGAACAGTTATAATTTTGTATGACCTGTTTAGTACTTACCAGAAATCAGACATTGCTCCAAATGTTTTTTATGCATTAACCCACTTAATCTTCACAACAACCTCTCAGATAAGTAGTATCATTGTCCCCATTTTATAGGTGGGGAAACTGAGGCCCATTGACATTAAGTAAGTTGGCTGAGGCCACAGACTAGTGAGTGTGATGTGGTTTTTTGTTTTTTGTTTTTTGTTTTTCTTTTTTGCAGTAGTGAGGAGGGGGGAAGTAGTAGAATACGGAGTTGAATCTGTAACTGACTGTGAACAATCAAGTGCGATAACTCACTACCTTCGGACCAGCCAATGTGTGGTGTGTTTTAATGACACAACAAGTGTAAAACACAAAGGCTATGCCCAGCGCCAAGGACCTCCATGTGCACAGTCTCTTTCACCACCTCTGCTCTCCTGTTCATTAGCTGTGGGGCCTTGGACCAGTAATTTTACTCCTCTCATCCTCAGTTTCCTCATCTATTGAAGGAGGGAGCTGGAGGAAATTGTCACCAAATCCTCTCCCTGAAAACATTCCACACCTTTAGAAGGTCATCCGGCCCTTCCCTTTCCAGAGATTTCCCTGTTGGGACTCCCAGCTCCTCTGACCACTTGTCTTCACACCCACACCTCCATTCCCGTTGAAGGCTGGCATGGCCAGCACTGAGCATCTCTGCGGTGTGTTGCAGATGGTCGAGTTCATGCAGCGCTGCGCCTCACACATGCAGGCCATCATCCAGGGCTTCTCTTATGACCTGCTGAAGAAGATAGACTCCCCACAGCGGCTCATCTGCAGCCCGCCCTGGTTTGGGGGCCTCATGCAGGGGTGAGTACTGCTTCAAGCAGAGTGGGCTGTTCTGCATCATCCCAGTCTTCCTCACCAGAGCCCTGCAGCACAGGCTGACTTGGTTTCCTCCACATTGGTTCCCTCCAGCGTTTGGCTCACCCAGAGGGGTGCACTCAGAAAGACAAGATGTGGCCACTGATAAAGGATGGCCAGAGGAGCACCTGTGGCCATCTCCCTCCCCTCTTTCCTCCTGGAAGGTCTGGGGGAAGTACCTGTGGGCTCCAGTGGGAACGGTCCTCTAGTCAGCAGAGGGGGAGCATCTCAGGTCTAATGAGCCCCACAGAAAACCCTTACCCAGCAGGGCAGCTGCCTGGCTTTTTTTGTCATCTCCTGAACCATGGAAAGCATGTTGTTTTATTACTAAGATTGTAGAAGACAACAAATGCTTAACTTACAGTTTCTTGGGCTGTTTTAAGCTGGTGTAAGACACTTGCTGCCAGCTGGGTGAGCAGCTCCCTTTCCCCACCATCACAGCTGCAGGAGGTGGGCCCCAGGCTTCTCATGCTCAGGGATGAGCTTGGCACAAGGGAGTTATTGTAAGTTCTTTGGGCTTTATCGACTTAGGGTTTATATGTAGAGAATCCATTTTGCTTTTCTCTGACGGCATCTCTTTCTGTAACCAGGGGAGCTGGACTTACCGCACTTGCAGGCCCCCTCATCCTATCCTTCGTGCACACTGAGTCCTGGTTTTCCTTCTGATGACCTGGGTGCTCGCTCTCAGGCGAGATGAGGTCATGAGCCCCTCGAGGTCTAGTTACGCCTAACTGCTGTGCTGTACTTTGGCCAGTCTTGGTTATTCGGCATCCAGAATGACCTTTTAAAAATGGAAATCTGGTTGTGCCACACTCTGCTAAAAACCCTGTAGGGCCTTCCCCATGACTATCAGGATAAACTCCCAAATCCCTCATCTGGCCTTGCAGGCCCTGCCTGGTCCAGCCCCTCCCCTTTCTCCCACCTCATCTCCTGCCCCTCACCCTTGCACGGAGTTCCCCTGTTCAGAGTTTAAGAGAAACTTGGCACAGTTTGCAATTAATTTATTTGTATACATTCTTCTCCATTTTTCCAATGGACTGTGAACTCCAAGAGGGCAGGGATTGTGTCCATCTTGTTGATCACCACTAACCCTTAGCTGCATGGTGCACGATAGGGCTTAGTACAAGGAGAGTAGGTTCATGGGCCAGCCTGAAAGGAAAACCCAAGTTTAAGTGTTGATAAGCTTTTAAAATTTTAGTTACTAATCTAAACATAGCATGTTTTTATGTAATTAGATGAAACATACTTCTTATGGGGTTAATAAAATGCTTAAGGGAAAACAGGAGAGAAAGGCACTCCCTCGCCCTTTTTAATCTAAAGAAACCACACGAATCCTTGAAGTAAGAGGTGGCTTCTCAGATCTGTGAGTGGTGCCTAGTCAGATAAGGTTCCTCACAGGTGTCTGTTTACACAGAGCCTGGATCAGAGAAAGGAAGTAAAAATACTGAATTGAGAAGAACAGATGGTTGTGTGGTTGTAGATGACTAGAGTCAGTTGTTTTTGCTTTTTTTTTTGAGACAGTCTCACTCTGTTGCCCGGGCTAGAGTGCCGTGGCGTCAGCCTGGCTCACAGCAACCTCAAACTCCTGGGCTCAAGCGATCCTTCTGCCTCAGCCTCCCGAGTAGCTGGGACTACAGGCCAGCACCACCACACCCAGTTAATTTTTCTATATGTTTTTAGTTGTCCAGCTAATTTCTTTCTATTTTTTTTAGTAGAGACGAGGTCTCGCTCTTGCTCAGGCTGGTTTCGAACTCCTGAGCTCAAAGGATCCGCCTGCCTCAGCCACCCAGAGAGCTAGGATTACAGGCGTGAAGCCACCGCGCCCGGCCTTTTTTTTTTTTTTTTTTTTAAAGAAACAGTCTCGTTATATTCCCTAGGCTGGTCTCAAACTCCTGGGCTCCAGGGGTCCTCCCACCTCAGCCTCCGGAGTAGCAGAACTACAGGTGTATACCACCACACCCACCTGGCTCTTGAAGTCAGTTTTTTCTCCGCTTGACCCAGACGAGTTTAGTTAAATAGATGTGGACTGAGAAATTTAGGTAAGAGCAAGACATGTCGGTCTGAACTGCAGTTGTTGTCCAGGTCACTGTTAGAGAACACTCAGTTGGCTTCTTTACTTAAACTCTCACCTTCTAAAGAGCCACACAAGCTGCTGAGAGGCCCCTGGTGGGAAGGCAGGAGGCCTTGTCAGTGGTACCCCATGTTCCATTTCTCCTGGGGGCTGCCACCCTCACTGCCAGCTCAAAGTCCCTTCCCCTGGGCAGGAAACAGTCCACTCTCTCCTAGATCTTTATTTTTTTATTTTATTCTATTTTATTTTATTATTATTATTATTATTTTTTTGAGAAGAGGTCTTGCTTTGTCAGTCAGGCTGCTCTTGAACTCCTAGCCTCTAGCAATCCTCCTGCCTCAGCTTCCCACGTAGCTGTGACTACAGGCGTGACCCACCACGCCTAGCTAATATCTCCTAGATCTTCGAGTCCTAGGTACATAGGCCTTGTTTCCAGAAGAGACTGATGATTTGATATAGGAAAGGAGATTTTTTCTTATAGTCTGTGTGCTTAAATGAGGGTGACCATATGGCTTATCATCTACTGGCTGTTTTGAGAGTGAAAGGGACACCATCAATAATGATGCTAGGACATCAGCTATAAATGGGGATGTCCAATTTACCTCAGTCTAAACTTCAGAATCCTCTTTTCAACAGTATAGCAGCTTAAAGTAGGGAAGAGATAGCCTGCCACTGATGAGTTGCTAAGGAGATAGAGGCTAAAATACTTCCAAAAGCAGAAGTAAAGCATTTACACCTGTTCAGGAATGGTAGCACATGGGGCCTCAGACCTGATGTAGGCAGGGGCTGAGTATGCACTGTCCCTCTCAGCTTTTTTGTCATTTGCCAAGAAAGGGAAAGTGGCTCCAGCAGCAGCAGAATGTTTTTCCTTCCATCTGAGCCGAAACTACTCAATCAGCAAGCATTGACTGATCACCTGCTGCATGCATGGCACCATGCCAGGCTGCGGGAGCCAAAGAAATATAAGGCATCACCACTCACCTTCAGTTAATGCAGGCCCTGGTGTGTGGGTAGTGGTTTGGGTGTGGTATGTGGGAAGAGCAGTGGCTGGAATGAGCAGTGTCAGGGTCTGGTCCCTGTGCTTCTTAACCTCAGGCCAACAGGTTTCCCATCCCTGGGCTTCAGTTTTCCTGTCTGTAAAATGAGAAACTTGGACAAGATATGCCTTGTGATTCTTTCCAACTCTGACCATCTGTATTTGTTATTTATTACTGTATAATGAATCTCACCCTCCCCCTGCCACCAATACCACCAAACTTAGCAGCTTCAAACAATAAAATTTTTTTTTTTGAGACAGAGTCTTGTGCTGTCACCCCGGCTAGAATGTGGTGGCATCATCATAGCTCATTGTAACCTCAAACTCCTGGGCTTAAGCAATCCTCCTGCCTCAGCCTCCCCAGCAGCTGGGACTACAGGCATGTGCCACCACGCCCAGCTAATTTCTTTTCTATTTTTAGTAGAGATGGGGTCTCACTCTTGCTCAGGGTTGTCTTGAACTCCTCGCCTCCTAGAGTACTAGGATTAGATTATAGGCGTGAGCCGCTGCGCCCTGCCAACAATAAACATTTTTATCTTACACACTTTTGGGGGTCAGGACTCAGGGAATGGTTTAGCTGGGATGTCATAGCTCAAGGTTTCTCATGAAGTGGCAGTCAAGATGTTAGTTAGGGCTTGTGCGTGGAGGATCCCGTTTCAGGGTGGCTCACTCACACCCTGGTGCTGTGTGTTCAGCCTCTCCCTAGGGCTGCTTGAGTGTCCCCACATCATGGCAGCTTGCTTCCTCCAGAGCAAATGATCCAGGAGAGATCAGGGCAAAAGCCCTGGTGGATCTAGCCTCGGAAGGGACACTCCATCATTTCCGCATTATCCTCTTGAGTTAACAGGTCAGCCCTGTCTGACCTGCAAGGGGCTTCACAAGGACATGACTACCAGGAGGTGAGAATCGCAGGAGCCCTCTCAGAGGCTGGATATTACACCTTCTTTAGTTCCGTGATAAAAAGTCAAGTAGTAAAGGCAAAATCAACTATACATTCTGAAAACTTGGTTCAGCATTGTTCCTCTGAATATGAGTGGTTAATTCTTAGTTTTTTTCCTCTTTTAAATATTTCTAGAAACCCTAATGGCTCTCCTAACCGACTTCTTAAAGCTGGAGTCATTTCTGCCCAAAATATCTACAGCTTTGGCTTTGGAAAGGTAAGAGGTTACCAGTGACAGCCAGTGTTTGCAGGACTAACTACAGGATCGCCTGGCCCCATCTGCCACCTTTGTCCAACTCCTCCTTTCTTGTCCTCACCAAAGTGATTTTTTCCCTTTTTTGTCCCTTTTGAGGGAAAGGTATCTCTTAGCGTTCCTGCCCTTAATGACAAATGGTCAAAACCCTGGAGAGTTCCCTTGAATGATCCTGGGCTAGATTTGGGGAGTTTAGAATATGGTCCTTTAATTCTCAGTGGAGGCCCCAGACATATTCTCCCTAACAGAGAGGCAGAAAGATACGCTGACCCCAGGGGTCTGCTTCCTTATTGACCTTGCCCTCCCACAGGCTTGTGACTGTGGTTGGAATGCTTTTAAGGAATTGAAGTTTTAAACAGAAATATTTGGAGGGCAAATAGTATTTTTTGGGTCCTTGGTTCTGTCCGTCAAAGAAAGAGACCGTTGGAAACATTAACAAGTGGATGAGTAATGTTCGATAACAGCTTGGCCACACTCCTGATTCTTTTGTGTTGAGGCAGCCTGGGGGTCGGTGGGGGAGAAGGAATGTTGGCTTTGGCCTCACACAGTCCTGGGTTTGGTCCTAGCTATGGTGCTTCAGGCAGGCATCTGACCTCTTTCTAGGAGACTCAGTTTCTTCATTAGTAAAAGGAAAAGAATAATACAACCTTGCAAGGTTTCCAGGAAGATTAAAGATAATATAAAGAATAATGTCCAGTGTGTAGGGGTATTCAGCAAGTTGGTAAGTAGCAGCTGTCATTTTAGCTGGCTAATAAGATTCTCCCCACAATCTGAGGCTGTGCTTTGTTTCAGTTTTACCTCACAGGGGGGACGCAGCTTGCCTATCTAGGATCTCTTCCAGTCATTGGAGAAAAAGAAGTGATTCAAGCTGATGATGAGCCCACCTTCTCTTTCTTCAGTGGCCCCCACATGGTCATGACCAAGTACGCAGGGGCTCGCCAGTGGAAGATCTGTTTTAGTCCCATGGGAAGAGTGGGCTGCATGTGGGTTCCTCATGGGGAGGGTTTCTGCTTAAACATGGGAACTCTTAAGAACATATGTCTAAATCAGGGTTTCTCAACCTGGACGTTATTGCCATTTTTGGCCAGATGATCCTTTGTTGTTGGGGCAGTCCTGTGCATCATGGGTTATTTAGGAGCAGTCCTGGTCTCTACCCACCAGTGTCAGTAGCAGGGACATATGACTCCTGCAGTTGTGACAACCAAGCTGTTTGCAGACATTGCCAAATGTCCTCTAGGGGAGAACTACTGCTCTGAAAGATTAATTATTTCAATATTTTAACCTCTCTGCTTTCTGAAAGTTAGAGGCAGCTTGGTGGTGACCATCTTGCCTCTGATATAGGCAGAAGGATATTGACGCCCCTGTAGAAACTGGAGTAGGTATCTGCTACAGCTCTCACCAGCCAAATCCAACAGAAGTGGCAGTAACAGGATTTGGTCATGACAAAAGTCCCAGGGTTGTTCTCAATCCCCAGAGACCTAGCCCCTGCAGGGTCATGGGAGTTGTCTTGGCCAGCGTCTCTCAGCCTCCTTGAACATGCATGCCTCTTTCCTACCTTAGAAGAAACACACTCCTAAAAGGCCTCTGCCAGATTTGCAAGGCCCTCTGTCCTCTACCTGTCTGCTTCTTGTTTCCCTGTCCATGCCACGGATTTGTTATCAAATTGTCTTTCTAAAATACAAACCTGATCAAGTCACTCACTCCCGGTGACTTCCTGCCACCTGCACCTAAGTTCCCCAGGGTGCTTTAGTACCTGGGGGTAGTGAGAGGGAGGACCCAGCAGTGCCCAGTGGGTGTTACAGGTTCTCGTAGACCACCACTTCTGTGGAAAGAGCTTACTCACTGAAGTGGATGTTCACCCCCTTCTGTTCAAACTCTCTCCTGCCTTTGTAGCCTGGTGTGGAACGGGAGTAGGGTCACAGTAAAAGAGCTGAATCTCCCCACCCACCCACACTGCAGCAGGCTGCGGCTGGCCGACCTGTTAATTGCTGAGCAGGAACACAGCAGGTGAGGAGGAGGCCCAAGGGCCAGGCCCCTTACAGCTCCAGGTCTCTTTGCAGACCCAAGTTCGGGCTATACAGGGCTGTCCCTGGGGTGTGGAGCACCAGCCCCCCTCAGCCTCAGCATTTCCTGACTTGACTTCCATGGACTGCCAAGAAAGAGAAAGAGGAATGAATTGATGAATAGCCTGAGCAGTGGGGATGGTGGTGGTGAGGGGCTCAATTCTGTCAGCTGTCCTGTAACCCTGAATAGTCCAGCCTTCTGCTGCAGCCCCTGAGACCCACCCATTTTGTCCCCATTAGGACAGTGTGTGGCTATCTTGTTTCCATAGAGCATGGCTGTGCATAAGATCCAGATGTCTGAGGAACCATGTCTGTGCCATCGAGGACGTGCTCATGACCTTAGGTTTCCTGGGGCTCCAGGATTGGGTCCTTCAGTTCTTGCTAGGGCAGGCTCTAAACTCATGAGTTTACAACAAGGCCACTGAGGCCCTGGAATGGATCCAGGCTTATTGAGTGCTGTCCTGAGAAGGCCACTCAATTCCTGTAGAAGGCATGTAGAGAGGCCAAATTCTTCCTTTTGGGGAAGTTACCCTGAAGGAACCCAAGGAAGCTGAAACAATGTGTAGCTACAACGCGGACTTTGACTTGAGACTGAGTGGGGTGTGTGTCCTTGGGTGAGCTCCTGACATTTCCTTGACGTTTGTTTCCTAAAGACTATGAGGATACGTTTCCTGCAGGTGATTATTAGTATCTGAGATGAAGTATGCAGAGTGCTTTACTCAGGAGCTCTTAGTGACAGTATCATTGTTGTCATCAATGGCTCTAAGCTCCCAGGGTCTGATCAGCGAAAGGCCACAGATTCCACCACCAGAGACCACCCCCCCAACCCACACCCCATCCCGTTTTCTTAGAAAAATGTTGTATACAAATGGTATTTGTTTAGAATGTGTTCACAGGGCCTAGAGAAAGGGCAAGACCCATTTTTTCCATCATGTCCTCCTTCCCCCTCTGCCACCTGAAGCTTCTTCTCTTTTGCAGCAAGCTGCGGCACCCACACCTGCTGCAGCTGATGGCTGTGTGCCTGTCTCAGGACCTGGAGCAAACCCGCCTCGTGTATGAGCGCATCACCGTGGGCACATTGTTCAGCATCCTCCATGAACGAGTAAACGGCTGTTTTCATGGCTTTTCCCCTAGCTGCCCTCCCGCTTCTTCCCCCCTCCCCTGCCCCAGCTGCAGAGATCCCATTCATGTGTGCATGCAGAATAAATCTCTTAATTCTTTTACTTTATGCAGGCCGTATTAACATGCCATTTAAGGCTGATAAGTACATGCTCGGAACTACTATGATTTCATTTTTGTCAGTCCTGCTTCTTTGTCACACATCTGTGAGTGCAACAGACCCAGAAAACACACAGACACATTTCTAGCTAACTGTAATTCATGTAGCCCCCGGCATTATTTTTCTACGTTTTCACTTGTGCACTATCCTGTTTTGTTTACATAGAGGCCTATTCCATTCCCCTCTCTCTCAAATTTCTTTGGGGTTGGAGGACATCGTCCATGGCCAACAGATTCCCTGAGAAATGTGCTTTGGGCTGAGTTATGGCTACAGAGAGCTCCTGGAGGATTTGATTTTTTTCTCCATGACTTTGTTCCAAAGACCTTCCAGGGAGGGCCCTTGCCCCAAATGGTTTGCCATTCCTCCTGCCTGAGGACCTCCTATTAGTATTTCTTTTCCTTTTTTCCTTGGGTGAGGACATTACCTTAAAATGACATTTCTCTAGGGGAGAGACCCATTATGACTTTAGTCAGCAGGGTACACTGATGTGTATGAATTTCTGTGCTCTTAGAATGAACTTTCTAGTTTATCTGATTGGGGTAAGGGGCTGGATTGATATGTGCATCTGTAGGGTCTTTTGAGCTTCCAGGTTCTCCCAGAAGCATGGGCTTGGACAGGGAGGGGACAGGGCATGTTTACTACAGGTCGTGGGGAAACCTCCCCTGGCAGTTTTCCCCCGGCCATCCCCGGATCCACATACCAGCCTTTGAGAACTTCTCTTCATTATTTGTGGTATGAAGCAGCTCAATTGAGGAAAAGGAGTCTAGGTTTGGAGCCAGGGGGCCTGGGTCAGTGGGACCTTAGGCCAGTCACTTAGCCTCAACGAGCTTTAGGTTCTCCATCTGTAAAATGGGGATCCTAGGTACCTGTGAGGATCAAATGGAAAGACTTTGGAAATACAGTGTCAGGGGCCTGATCCCTTTTGTTCCTGGTGTTTTGTCTCTTGCTTGCAGCGGTCGCAGTTCCCGATGCTACACATGGAGGTGATTGTGCACCTGCTGCTCCAGATCTCTGATGCCCTGAGATACCTGCATTCTCGGGGGTTCATCCATCGCTCCCTCAGCTCTTACGCTGTCCACATCGTCTCCCCTGGGGAAGCAAGGCTGACCAACCTGGAGTACATGATGGAAAGGTGGGTAATTCTCACTCACATTGCAATCAGGTGTATTGGAGAGGGGCAGTGTTCCATGTCTCTACCATCTGTGGCTCTGCCAACCTCTGGGCCTCCGTCCCCCACTACGTTCTTTGTGTTGCTGGTCAGTGAGCAAGAGAGAGAGCATGGAGGGGACGCAGTGGGGTTTGGGGCCAGCCCAAAGTGGGTAATATCATTGCTTCCCACTTCGCAACAGCCAGAGCCCAATCACCTTCTGACTGTAGGAGGCTGAGAAATGTGCCTTAGGTGTGCGTCCTGGAAGGAGAGAGAATGTGATGGGTGCTGATGAGCCCGATGGCCTGTCACACCATCTATGTCCAGGCCAGGCACTGGGCTGGTGGACGTGAAGGGCATGCCTTGCCCGTAAGGGGCTCAGCACAGTGAGAGGCAGTCAAAAGCAATGTCCTCATTCAGGGGTTGATGGATGGGCTTAATTTTGTTTGGCTGGAGTCAAAGTCCTTCTGAGAGTTGGGGACTGACCCCCACTTCTCGCCCCCAAGCTCTGAGAGGCAGAGGATCTCCCCTGCGCTTGCTTGCTGCCATCCTCAGCTCTGAGCCTTTGCCCAGTGTTGATGCTGCTCTTCTGTGAGGCCTCAGCCACTGGGAAGATCCCTGGCTTAGAACTACCTACCTCCTTTTACCCTGCCCCTGCTCCCACCCCAGCTTTGTTTCTGAGTCTCTCGTAGTCCTTTGTTTCTTACACACTTCATAATTCATTTCTCTTGCTAGATGAAAAGCTCCATGAGGGCAGGGATTTCTGTTTTAGTCACTGCTGCTTCTCAAATGCCTAGGACAGGCCTTCACACAGTGGGCACTCAGCGTATTTTTCAGTGTCTCACTCTGTCACCCAGACTAGAATGCAGTGGCATCATAATAGCTCACTGCAACCTCAAACTCCTGGGCTCAAGCAATCCTCCTGCCTCAGCCTCCCTAGTAGCTGGGACTACAGATACATGCCACCATGCCCAGCTAATTTTTCTATATTTTGTAGAGACAAGTCCTTGCTCTTGGTCAGGCTGGTCTTGAACTCTTGGCCTCAAGCAATCTTCCCGCCTGAGCCTCCCAAAGTGCCAGGATTACAGGCACGAGCCAGTGCACCTGGCCAGCATGTTTTTTGAATGAATGAAACTGAAAGAGTCACCTCCCCAGACCTTAAGTGCCTCTTATCCCTCTGCCTAGAGAGGAGGGCAGGGGCCAGATCATGCTTGGCCTTGTGGGCCCTGGTGAGGTGTTTGAATTTCATCCTGAGAACACTGGGATGCTGTGAAAGAGGTTTTCTTGAGCATTATGGTGTCGTGCATGATTTATAGGTTAACATGATAAGAACGCTTTGGCTCCTGTGTCTGTAGAAGGGGCTGCTATACTGGGACAGGAGAGAGTAGGGCAGCCATTAGGGTGTGATGAAACTGCTGCAGGTTTCTACTTGGGAACGAGCAGAGGCCACTTGAGCTGCTCACCTCACGTCTGGTCCATTCTCAATGTGAGTTAAAACCTTTCAGGGGCTCCTCATTGCCTACAAGGTTAAGTCAAGGCACCTTTGCAGGGAGTGAAAGCCTTCCCAGGTGGGGGCTCCACCCACAGAGCCGCCCTGATGATTGTCCTCACGCCCTTCTGAAGCCACTTTCAGTCCGTGCCTTTTCACACAGCTGCTTCCTATGCCTGGAATAACTGGTACACACCTCTTTGGTCTTTTTGTTTTTTTTTAGAGATAGGCTCTCACTGTGTTGCCCAGGCTGGAGTCAAGTGGCATCATCATGATTCACTGAAGCCTCAGGCCCATGGGCTCAAACGATCCTCCTTCAGCCTCCCAAGTAGCTGGGACTATAGGGGGACACACCCCTGCACCTGGCTATTTTTATTTTTTATACAGATGAGGACTCACTATGTTGTCCAGAGTAGTCTCAAACTCCTGGCCTCAAGCAATCTTCTTGCCTTGGCCTCCCAAAGTGCTGGGATTACAGGCGTGAGCCCCTGCACCCAGCCCTCTTTAGTCTTTTAAACTCACTTCAGACACAGTCTCCTACCACTGATGCCCTCACCCATGAGGCACTGCGTATTCCTCTCACATGTATCCCTCCAGTGCAACTCGGTCATTTCTATACAAGTGTGTTGCCCCACTTGGTAGCGAGTTCATCACCGACTCAGGGCCTGCCACGTGGTAAGTGCTCAGTAAATGTTTCTTAAATGATTGGATGAGTCTAGCTGAAGGAAAAACTTGAGATGGTTCAGAGCATGGTCGACCACTTTGGCTATGTGTTCAGGAGCAGTGAAAGCTGAGGGGTTCCGGGGTTTTTGCTGTTGATAACACCAGAGGCTTTTTAGGAAGCCTGTGACAGAATCCAAGTTATTTCTCAGGGATTGAGCGCCATCTGCTGTTGCCATGGAGGCATAACAGTTTCTTCCTCTACTTTCGCTTTCCAGTCGCAATGTGAATCTTAGAGTGAAATGACGCTTTGGAGATGGCCCAGCCCAACCCTGTACTCTTATAGATGAGGAAACTGAGGCCCAGAGGGGTGAAGGGATCATGCGAAGTTACCCAATTGGTTGGTTAGAGGTACAGTTGGGGCTAGAACCAGGTGGAAAAGGATGCCTCCCGGCTATAGGGGCAGGCTGGATTGAAGATTGAGGTCAGGAAGATCAGCTAGGAGGCCATGGGACAGGGCCTGGTGGTGACCAAGGAGCCAAAACAGAAGGGAAAAAAGTGGGCCAGGCGCGGGGGCTCACGCCTGTAATCCTAGCACTCTGGGAGGGCAAGATGGGTGGATCATTTGAGCTCAGGAGTTCGAGACCAACCTGAGCAAGAGCGAGACCCCGTCTCTACTAAAAAAATAGAAAGAAATTAGGTGAACAACTAAAAATATATAGAAAAATTAACTGGGTGTGGTGGTGCTGGCCTGTAGTCCCAGCTACTCGGGAGGCTGAGGCAGAAGGATCGCTTGAGCCCAGGAGTTTGAGGTTGCTGTGAGCTAGGCTGACGCCACGGCACTCTAGCCCGGGCAACAGAGTGAGACTGTCTCAAAAAAAAAAGCAAAAACAACTGACTCTAGTCATCTA